GTATGTAGTAGTATGATCTATATATATATATATATATATATATATATATATATGAAGATCCTACCAATCACTCATGAGTGAAATGCTAAAATGATTTTGCTCATGGGCCTGAAGTTTATCAACCGTCTAATTAAAAGTCAGATGGTTGAGAGCGTGTGCATCCAGAGTTTTATGTGATAGCCACATACCTATGAAACTAAAATGGAAGTTGTAGGTGACCGTTGTTAGACTAGTCAACAAAATGTTAGGCCATTAAGAAACAACATTTCCATAGGATGTTTGTATCTAAGATGATGAAGTTGAGATGGATGAGTCACAATGTAAGAAATGATAGAATTAAGAATGAAATACATTCAAAGGAACTTAGGGGTGGCTCCAATAGGCGATAGCTTGAGGAAAAGTAGACGTAGATGGGCTAGCCATGTGCATCATGGACCAATTATAGCACCAATTAAGAGGGGCGTTTTGGTTTAAGTAGAAGGCTCTAAAAAGGAAAGGGGAAGGTCCAAAAGGACATAGATGGAAGTATTGTTTAAGAAGATATATAGTGACTTATGGTCTAACTGAGGATATGGTCCTTGATAGAGCAGAATGACAGAATTGGCTTCGTGTAGCCGACCCCAAATAGTTAGGATAAGGCTCTTATGATGATGATGATGAATTTTAATATTTTTATATACATCATATCCATCTGAAATTTGTAGTTTGTGTTAATCACACCATCACTCGCCCAGTAAAATATTTTACATAGTTTAAAATGACAACATTTCACCTAGATTATAGGGGCATTTTGTTCACTTTTAATTATATAAGATTTTTTCTATATTTTTGTTGGGTGTGCAAGGCAGAGGTGCATCTATCCTCCAAATTTCAGCTCAAACAAGTTTGTATAAAGAATATAAAAATTCTTAGACTAAAATACACTCTCAACCGTCCAATTAAAATTGGACCTTTAGGCCCATTCATGAAATTTCTATTGTATTTTCTCACAGGCGTTCGGTTTCGGTAGGGT